TGACATCGGTAAAATCTGCATATTGCCTTAAAAATTTAATCCTTATTGCAAATTCATACTGGATAGGTTGGACTGTGCATCACTGTCCTTTTACTAGTATTGTTACTCAATTGCCTGCAAGCAGTCACATCCTGACAGTATGATAATAAAACTACACGCTAAACCACAACCGCCATTATAAGTTAAGATATTAAAGGATAAAAAAACGAGAAAGACCTACAGTATTTCCGTCTTGGAAAGACTCCATGGCACGAAGAATGATGCCCTCATTTTGGCCAAGTACATAGACGTTTTTTATTCCATCATCCAAACACTCTCCCGGCATTAAGAAAAAGGCCTTTTCGCCTTGGATGAGAACTTTCTTGCCAATTTTCGGAACCCCTTTATCGTCAACTGGGTCACAAAGGACACAGTAGGTGTTCGAGGAAAGCACAATGGGTGATACCACCTGAACTACCTCCTCATCCACGCTGGGGATATGGCTTTCGGCGTCCAAGTGCGTGATCAGCCACTCCTCCCCATGTCGTCTGCGCTTACCAAAGTCGTCCACGTGAGTTCGTTTCGCTTTGACATGGAGAGCTGTCTACAAAATAAGACAAAAAAGCTTTAAGACATTCACCAGAACTTCAAAGTTTAATAAAGGCGATAATTCAAGCCAGTACATACGAGACACGTGTTTCTTCATCATTTCTGCACCTTCATGTGTTTTTCCGTCCCCTCAGTGTTTAGTGCGTTTTCTGAGGCATCAACTCAATATATCAATGTTATATTAACAAAATCTCCTGTGGCTGTGGGATTATGTTCGCTGCATGAAAAAGTACATCGGAAACGATCAAGTTCTGCGGAATAACCGCGTATCGCCAAGTCACTAAACATATCATACAATGAGTATTACAATTTTAGGTGAAATGGTCCTACCAAACTGTTAACCTCGGTACTGACTAAAAGTACGGACACAAGTTTCTGCTACACTCGTATGCAACTGCCAGCACTTCGGCACTCCGCGTGGCCAAGGGAGTATGAGCCATGGCGTTGACTTAATCCGCGTCACCTCTGACAAATGGTGGTGCCAGCGCTAGCGTATTACTAAAATTCTTGCTGAGATTGAGGGGATATGAACTCAGTTTTGACTTTAATCAGCTTCAATTCTGGCTTACAATACAGTCAGTAATAGTACCAGCAGATGCACTTAGCTACATCCTCGTTAGGAGTATTTGAAAGAGCAGTACTGGTAGTAGCAGTACCAGCCCAGGCTTCCTAGAGTCTGGCTAGACAACTA